ATACGGAACAGGAGCATGGAGCGACAGGACTCCACCACTGCTTGCAGGACAGTGGCGTGTTGGCTTTTGTTTCTTATGCCCCATGCATACGAAATTTTTGGCTTTCATTTCGCAGCTGTGTGTGTGTATGTGTGTCTTTTATGCTTCAATATTTCATCGATAGTAAAAACAACAACACCAAGAAAGAACAACTTTCTGAGGCACGCCCAATATATGATACCCTTGCAGACCGATACCAATTTCATCATAAATTTAACAAAAATAACAAGCCGATATTTTCGATGATTCTTTACCCAGTCGGCTAATGGTGCTCTTCAAGCATATATATATTATGCCATTGTTTGGGGCCGGCACCGTTTATTTGAGTGCATTACAAACTGGTCGACAAAATTGGCATACTCTCTGTGAGGGCATCAAAAGGTGGACGACCAAAAACTGCACATTGTCACATTGGGGGCCATGAGCCCGGAGTCCGGAGTCCGTGAGCCCGGGATTCGGGAATGGGGAGTTCGAAGTTTCGTCTTTGGGACAGCTGTTGTACTGGCGACGATGACGACGTCTACCTCAACGTCGACGTTGGCACGGAAATAATTGAAAATACGTGTTTGGGTTTTGTGGACAGCGGCATTTGGCTTCACAAGCGAAAGCAACAGCAACAACAATTCCAACAAGGACTTCACTTAGTGGCCAGAATTCCCCGCCGCACACTGAAAAATTCAATCCACATTTCGCCACATTTTACATTTGACAAATTTCCATTTGCTTTTCGAACCAAAGCATAATAAATTCTCTGCTTTCTTCAAATGAATTTTACACAAATTAAAAAAAAAAAATACAAATTGCAATCTTCTCAAAATTTGCTTTTGTTGGCTCTTAGTTTTTATGTTTCTTTTTTGTCAACTTTAATTTATGAAACCCACCAAGCAAAAGTTGCTAATAACTTACTATCCAAATGAGTGCAAGGCTTAACCCAATAATCACTTCAAATAAAAGAAACAAAAGATCGTGGATCCTATGCTCTCTCGGCATAAAACGTTGCTCAAACGAGAATAAATAAAAATATAATAAAACAAAATTGTTCTTACAAATTTGTATAATAATTAAAGAACAGTTTATACACATTAATTTTACATTTTTGATTAATATTCGTGATTTGCAACAAATTTGGCATGAAAGCATTTTAACCCCGCTGCAAATATTCACATAGAATTTATTTAATTCGCAATATCCAATTTGACTACACTCTGCAATTGCTTTGCTATTTACCTGATTTTATATTGAAATTCATTAAACCTAAAAACTTTAAATATCGAACTCAAACACACTCTTCGAAACTGATTGACGACAATTTTTAATTACCGCACTTGAGAGTAAAAATACAAAATACGAAGCCAATGTGGTAAATACTCTTTTTGGCTGCAAAACAAAAAAAAAGAAGAAATTCAATTAGCTTCGCAAGAAAACCAAAAAAATAAAAAATCAAAATAAACAATGCCTGACTGGACTTAAGGGGGTGCCATGGGTTGGGTGCCGGGCGAATGGAGTCCCACTCTTTAAATCAATAAATCATCTGCAAGCAAATTAGTCGCACTCGAGATGTGTGTATGTGTTGTGTGTGTGTGTGTGTATATATGTAAGTGTGTCTGTGTTTGTGTGTGTGTGTGTGTGTAGAGGAGACGACCATTAGTCTTGCTTGGACACGGAGCAACTCCTTGGCTTAGAGCCTTGTGGCTTAAACCACGTGATTGCCTTTTTTTTAGACCGAATACGCGTCCGGGTCGAGATCTGGCCCTGGGTTTGGGTCGGGGTCTGGGTCTGGGTGCGGGTCCAGCTTCCAAATGAAATCCATTATATTCATGCGCAACAAAAGGGCGCTGCGACGTCGTCCATGTTCGTCCATGGACTTTGGCGGCGACATAAAAAATTCATTAAAAGTAATAAACTAATTCCATTCGATCCTATTAAAAATCATTTTCGAATTAAGGATATTTGCATATCCTTAATAAAGTTTACCGGACAATGCGCCCAGCATTGGGTTGGTCGGAAGACGGCGGGGGGGTGGCGCCTTTGTGACATTTTACAGACAAGTAGATGAGCCAGCTAACTACCCCCCGTCCCCCTACCAACCACTCGCTCCCCAACCTTACTGCTTCTGCCCTCTTTGGTGGTTGATGGCTGCTGATGAGTTGCCTCTCGCCTGTGCTCCTTTTGGTGTGTGGAGGAGTGAAGTGCTGTTGGTAGAAATCTTGTTTTTATTTGTTTGTTTACCGTCCGCAAAATGAACGCTGGCAGGCTCTCAGGCCGACAGGGAGGTCTTTGGTCCTGAGCAGATAGCTTTTGAGTGCTTGGGTGTGGTTTGAGGCGGGCGTTCGCCTTTGTACAGATATTTAAATTTTATCGCAGGCCGCCTGATTGCCCCGTCAGGCAGGAAGCCGAACAGGACACTAACACACACACACACACACACACTAACACACAGCTGCCAGGACTCATCAATCAGCTGCAGACTAATTACATAATCTCCTCTTGATTATGTTGCCGCTCTTTGTTGTCGTTCGTCCTGTTGCTGCTGTTGTTCCTATTCCTGTTGCTCCACAGCCAAGGCTGGACCACAAGCTAAAAAAAAATAACAAAATAAAACTAAGTTCCTAATCAAATACAGTGAACGCCAGCAAGCTGAGCACTTTTAGTGATTAGACATTTCATGTGCAAAACAATCAATTTTTATTTTTAATTTATCAAAAAATCGGCTGAAATAACTAAGTTCGGATTTTAATCTAAAATCAAACAATTAAATCATATTCTTTACTATTTATTTTATTATCTACCATTATTTCTTACTATTATTTATTTCTGAAAAATAGATCATTTCTTCAGATTGCTGAAAATTGCATTTTTGTGATATATGCAAAATGTGAAAAGTCTAAACTTATCTTTTTTCTTCTCTGACTTTCAAACTGTTCTGCTTATCTAATGTTTAATCTTCTTCGGTGTTACCTATAAAAAATTAATTATTTATTTATATTATTTAATTATAATTAATCTGAGATTCGCCTCATGTGAGAGCACTGTACTTTACTCATTTACATGGCACAGAAAGTAATACGTAAAGTGACTAGACATCAGCCTATCAACACTAACCTCAACCCCCTTTTCTTTTTGGGGTTAGAGATCAAAAACGGCGGCAACTTTCAAAATATGTTTAGTACTTTTATTGTTGTTCTTCGTTCCTGTTGTTCTTAGCGCTCATTAAACGAACTCAAGAAGGAGAACAAGATGAAGACAAGTTTGAAGAAGAGGAAGAAACTTGGCGAAGTGACCTTGACATTGAAAAAGTGGCAAAAGTTGAATACTAAAAGTAACTGCAAAATGCGAACTTTGCGTACTGGCGGCCACTAAACTTTAAGGCTTGCGACACACACACACACACACACACACACACACCACCACCACCACCACCTCCCCCTCCTCATCATCACCATCTCCACCCCCAAAAGACACAAAACCCTAAGCAACCACGCTCCCTGCACCGCAAAAGGCACCACACAACTTACTAAGTAACTTACTCAGGCGCTGAAAGAGAGAGCGAGAGGAAAAGTAGGAAAGTTTACTTTGAAAGTTGAGAAAAAAATTAAACTTACGCCAGTTTTAAGCTACCAAATTTATATAAAATATTGTACAGAAAAGTTGGTGTGTTTGTCTGTCTGTCTCTCTGTCTGTGTGTGTGTGGTTGTGAATAGGCCGAACGCTGAACTTTGAACCCGTCGGCCAGTTTCGAATACCCAGTAAAATTTAGAAAGAAGAAAGCTGCAAATATATAAGGCTGAGCAGCTAGACATTTTTTAAAGATAAAAACCGTTTAATTAACAACCAACTGAAATTACATTTTAAAAATAAATTCTGTAACAGCATATGAATGAAATATGACTGAGTAATATATCGGGAAAATATTTCAAATAGTTCATAGAAAAATTATGCCTAAACAGGCAGATTTGTTAAGCCAATGTAGATGATCATTTACTTGATTGCGTGGGATTCTCTCGATATTACACAACCTATGCATTGCATTGCCTGCTTAGTGATTTTAGGTTTAACTTTAACACAGGCTATTGAAACAAGATCACACATTACACTGACAAAAAATATATCGACAACATGTTGAACTACTATCGATCATTTCAGTTGAATTGCATTTGTGTGCAAAATGCGTGGTAACTACAAGCACGCTTCACAGCCGTTTTCTCATTAAAATATTTAACAAAAATAAATAAAATAAAAATTGATAATAGGCGAAAAGGGTTAAAGTTGTTTTTTGTTGTTCACACGCTGTTCTTTGGGACCCCGGCTGCAAAGTTTTTGTTTTGAGACAAAGTTTCGTCTCGCCAGAAACAGCCACGCCCCCAGCTTCACACCCACACCGCCGCCGCCATCAACGCTGAACAGCTGTGCTGATCAGCTGACTCACAGTGTGCGTGTGTGTGTGTGTGTGTGTGTGTGTGTAAACATACAGCGACCAGTATTTTGGCTGGAAAAACTTGGTCACACTCATTCATATTATTTTATAGGCCGTTCCGTCGCCAAAGTTCCAAACAACAACAACAAAACTTTTGACAATACCTAATTGCAAACTTTTAGATATCGCGAAAGTGGGCGTGGCACTGCTGCTCTTGCTGCCGCCCACACTTTAAAGAGTTGCGTGCGACGTCAGCAGCGACAGAGGAAGCAGCAGCGGCCGCTTGGCCTATTTTTTCCTCTGGCTTAGACGCAACAACAAAAACAACAAAAATGATATCGTTTAGTGCGTCGCAAAAGTTTCCAACATTTTTTTCTATATCTTTTTTTTTTAACTTGTTCAGCAGCTACGGCGGCTTTTATAAACCTCAGTGAGAAGTTTTTGTTTGTTTTTTTTTTTTCGAAAAGTTACGCTTGACGGTTGGGGCGGCTGCAATTTTCCAGGAAAATCAATAGATGGCGTCGACTTTAGTGAAAAAAGTGCGTGCATACAGTGCGGCTTTAATTTAAACTTTCCCCACCAATGTTACCAGTTACACAACCAATCCCCCAGCACGCCAAACTCAAAATAATAGCTTTAATCGGAAGTCAGGAATCTAGGTACTTGATTGAATTCTGTTCTTTCGAAAACTGAACCGATTTAACATAAGAATATACTCTTGGCCTAAGCTAGGACTCCCTATAATAATCTAGAATAACCTGCCATATATCATTCTCGATGGAGAAAAGATAGTTATGATTAAAGTTTCGCACCGCTTCCCCACCTAAAGTCACCTCGCCGCCGATTATGACATGATATAGCTTAATGTTTGGGCTCTCGTTCATCTGTAGATACACACAGTCCACCGAAGTCAAATGATGTCTCGATGGTGGCAACGCCGTGCAGTGATTTTTAATGGCCTCACGGCCATACAGCTCAGTGCCATTCCAATCCAAGACAGCAAATTCATGATACAGCAATTCCACAAACTACAATTCAGAAATAATAATATTAGCTTCGTTCTTAGCGAAATAAAACAGTTTAGGTATCTCTTACATCTCGCCGAGTGTCCCTAATAATATAGTAGAAATGTATGAAGGCGTCGATTGCCAATCCGTTTGGGTGAACCTTCCAAATAAAAATATTACTTTATGTTCTTATTTTATTTAATTTACTTCATCATTCATTCCACTCACATTGCCCATTCTTGATTTTGATTTTGATTACAAATAGCAATATCCTCTTAATACAGTTGTAGCTGATTATAGTATTTAGCGTATTCTGGATAATATTTGTTTGTTCAACTTAAACAATACAGTTTGAACTAATTTAACAATTATATTTACTCATACAGAAATATCTCAACTTTTGACAACTATATCAAATGTACTTTTGTACAGTTTTTGGATATTTCTCATAAGCTTTTCTTAAAAGCGGTTTCTAGTTATTGCTCTAAATAAAATTGTGGGTGTAGGTGTAATTGTGATTCTGTATTCGTCGAATTTATACCAGCGATCTATACACCTATTTTCTAATAATAATAAAAAAAAACTAAGAATCTAAGCTTAAAAAAAAATAACAAATACAAAAAAAAAATGTTCTCTTTTCTATCCATACGTGAGCATTATATTTCATTTAAGATAATCACTTGATATTTATGTAGATATTGTATTATAATGGATGGCTTAGCGACATTGGTATGTTTGACAATGCCTATTGATAATGAAGTTCCACTCACTTATGATTAATTGCGCCTCATGCGTATATCTACCACCGCAAGATGCAACCGAACTCAACCGATGCCTATCAAATATCGATACTTTACTGATATTGCTACTGACGCGATTACTTGCTTTCAATAGCATCGGGGCAATGGCAACAAGGCGGCTGCCAGATAGCTTTGACTGCTTCTTGTTTGTTTATCTCTCATATGAAATCCCACATGCATATTTTTATACTATATACACACAGGCCAATAATTTTCCATACACTCATATATCAAGAGTTTTTTCTATAACTGGCCTTAAGCTTATTTAACAACAAAAAGTTGTTTCTATCATTTAAATAAATTTCTATATAACATATCCTAAAAATAATAACTCGAAAATTATACTTTGACATACATAGGTAAATTGACAACCAAAATCTCAAACACTTCTCAAATTCCTAAAATGCTGATGAAAATAATCGGCGATCTTCTGCCTTTATCATCTTCCAAACGTCAAAACATGCTACACCACATCGAATACAGCCCACATGCCCAAAAATGCTGTTTCTCTTTGAGTTACTAAAGCTTTACTTGATGTCTACAACAAATGTGCTGTACTTCTGTAATTGGAATTGTTATTGAATTCAGTTATAAAGACGATATGCTTCAGCTTGATCTTCATATCCCACCAGAATACATATTCCTTACCATTTGGTCTGAATATTTAAGTCCACACTTCCAGCAACTCCATTATGCTGGGATGTACATATGTATGTGATACATTCAATTGGCGGACGATCCCTTTCTGCTTAAGGAATATGTCAAATTTTTTGATGCGTTTGTCCGTTTGACTTTCTCCATGGTTATTAGATACTCTTAGAAATTCTGACTCGATTTTGATAAAATAACCGTGAACATATCTCGATTTATCATCAATCATTGCACCGTAGCAAGGTGATCCATTGTTTGAGCATACATATAAATTCTAACATACATAGCTTATAGGACAACTGTAGTTTATCAATATATACTTTCATTGCAAATAATTCTTATGGCTAACACTAATTGTTGGTTTAAGTTTAATTCCATGATGTAAGAGAACGTATTGAAACAAATAAATATTTTCGATCTATAGTCCTCAATCAATCCAATAATAAAATAATATTAAATTACCTTATATGGTGAATTATTTCCAAAAGCAAATGTTTTCTAATATATTTTTTGAATTCATATAGACAGTTTAATGGTAAATATTTATACATAATTCTTGAAATAGATGTTGACATAAGAACACGTTTTATCAGCATGACAATATACATACATCAATAATGATATTGAAATATTTACTTAAAAGTCTGTATGTCTATATGTAACAACTGATTAAAGAATGAAATTCAGATCGTTGCAGCTTTCAGCTATTTACAAATAAATTCAATGACATCTTCTAAATTCGCTTGCAGATACAATGTTTGCCAAATAAACGCGGTTAACAACTGTATAGACTTGGCAACAAAGCTGTGGCAGTCTTGGCACAGTTTGAGATCCTATAAAAATGCTTTAAACTCGTTCAATGCATATCATTCTTGTCTAACCAAGTAACTCAGTAACACATCAGTTAAGATGAGAACCCAGACCGCAATTCTGAGCTGTGCTCTGCTGGCAATTCTCATTGCCTGTGTTCCAACGGCAGCACAAGTCACTGATACAACTACCACTCCGACAACTACCACTCCGACAACTACCACTGAGACAACTACCACTCCGACAACTACCACTGAGACGACTACTACTCCGACAACTACCACTGAGACAACTACTACTCCGACAACTACCACTGAGACAACAACTACTCCGACAACTACCACTGAGACAACTACCACTCCGACAACTACCACTGAGACAACTACCACTGACACAACTACCACTGACACAACTACCACTGACACAACTACCACTGAGACAACTACCACTGACACAACTACCACTGACACAACTACCACTGAGACAACTACCACTGACACAACTACCACTGACACAACTACCAGTGACACAACTACCACTGAGACAACTACCACTCCGACAACTACCACTCCGACAACTACCACTCCGACAACTACCACTCCGACAACTACCACTCCGACAACTACCACTCCGACAACTACCACTCGCAAGACTACTTCTAAGCCCAAAACTACTACTCGTAAGCCTTGCAAACCTAGAAAGACTCCTCGTAAGTGTGGCAAACCTCATAAACCATGCAAGGGACGTAAGCTACCAGGAAGAAGAGGAGGAAAAAGACACTGTGGCAAAAAAATACAAGTTAAATCTTGTAAGTCGAAGCCGAAAAAAGTTTGTAAGATTATTGAATATTTGAAAAAATGCAAGAAATAAAATGATAAATAGAACTATTGAAAAATTATGTTTGAATTCTTTTATTATTCACATATATATATATATATATATATATATATATATAGCACAGAGCGACGTATGCTATATTTATATGGCATTGTAGTCAAACCAAAATATATATCTTTTCTAAACACGTATGCTCACTTTACATTATTCACAAAGGTTGAGCTCTTCCTCTTCAAGCTAGTGATCACGCCAATGATATCGATCGATATCGGTATAATGTGTTGAGTACGTAGTTGCATGTTATGTTACAGATGTTACTTTACAATCTTAGTACTGCTCTAGGTTCCTGCTACATTATATATAAATATACATACAGATATTTTTATACCCTGAATCCATTAAAAATGGGTAAAAGGGCTATAATGGTTTTGTGTAAATGTATGATCAGGATCAACTGCCGAGTCGATATAGCCATATCCGTCCGTCTGTCCGTCCGTAGGTCTGCCCGGCCGTCCGTCTGTATGAACACGCGGATCTCAGAGACTATAAGAACTAGAGAATTTAAATATAGGTTTTTATATACACGGCGTAGATCAAGCTTGCTTTGTTTTATCGATAACTGCCTCCGTTTTCCGAATTTCAATGAATTTTTATTTCCGAGATCAATTAATGCCACAATTTTTAAAGCAGAATCTTCCAATTAATACATAATGTGCATATGGATATTGTTGATCAACTTCAACTTCAAATTCCATCAATATCGAATAAGAAAGACCCAAGTTATAGTCGAATATACATTGTGATATTGATCCCACTTCCACTCCTTTAGAAAAGAGTGCATTTGCCGATCTGCTCACATTTGGGTGCAAGACTTTTTAAAGGGAAATTTGCCAATAAGACTTGAATATATGTATATATATATATTTATGAACAGCTGGGTTCAGTTCGGGATCACTCGACTACAACATTCTTACTTGTTGATTGAAAATGATCTACACGCTACCCAACAAAAGTATATATGTATATACATATGTACAGTAAAAAAGGTGTGAAGACAGCAACTTGGTGGCAAGCAACATGCAGGACTGCCCTTTTATTTGATACACTTAGAACTTCTGACTCAACTTTTAGGAGAACGTATTGAAACAAATAAATATTTTCGATCTATAGTCCTCAATCAATCCAATAATAAAATAATATTAAATTACCTTATATGGTGAATTTTTTGAATTCATATAGACAGTTTAATGGTAAATATTTATACATAATTCTTGAAATAGATGTTGACATAAGAACACGTTTTATCAGCATGACAATATACATACATCAATAATGATATTGAAATATTTACATAAAAGTCTATATGTCTATATGTAACAACTGATTAAAGAATGAAATTCAGATCGTTGCAGCTTTCAGCTATTTACAAATAAATTCAATGACATCTTCTAAATTCGCTTGCAGATACAATGTTTGCCAAATAAACGCGGTTAACAACTGTATAGACTTGGCAACAAAGCTGTGGCAGTCTTGGCACAGTTTGAGATCCTATAAAAATGCTTTAAACTCGTTCAATGCATATCATTCTTGTCTAACCAAGTAACTCAGTAACACATCAGTTAAGATGAGAACCCAGACCGCAATTCTGAGCTGTGCTCTGCTGGCAATTCTCATTGCCTGTGTTCCAACGGCAGCACAAGTCACTGATACAACTACCACTCCGACAACTACCACTCCGACAACTACCACTGAGACAACTACCACTCCGACAACTACCACTGAGACGACTACTACTCCGACAACTACCACTGAGACAACTACTACTCCGACAACTACCACTGAGACAACAACTACTCCGACAACTACCACTGAGACAACTACCACTCCGACAACTACCACTGAGACAACTACCACTGACACAACTACCACTGACACAACTACCACTGACACAACTACCACTGAGACAACTACCACTGACACAACTACCACTGACACAACTACCACTGACACAACTACCACTGACACAACTACCAGTGACACAACTACCACTGAGACAACTACCACTCCGACAACTACCACTCCGACAACTACCACTCCGACAACTACCACTCCGACAACTACCACTCGCAAGACTACTTCTAAGCC